ACCCTTTCTCAAAGGTCCAGGCTCAGGGACTTCTCATGGCACCCTTTCCCAAGGGTGGGCTGTGCTGCACCCTTTCTCAAAGGTTTGCTTCCCGGCTCTTGCAAGCCACAGCATCCACAAATGTCTTGAATTGTGGAATCCCAGCCTTGTCAGCCCACCAGTGCCAGTGCATGGTCTTCCTGATGGGGTACACCTGGATGCCCTTGCTGACAGCCTCCTGCAAGATGTCCCCAGCATCATCAAACATGATGGTGCAGCCATGCTGGATGCACAGGCTTGCCTTGGAGCCAACACCTTTCCTGATGTGGGCTGCCATGAAGCCCACCTTCCCCCACCAATGCATCTGCTCAAGGTGGTGCCTCACCCTGGCAACCCTGTCCCTCCCACACCAGGTGCAAATGATCACTTCATGACCCTTTTCCAAGAGTGACTCCAAGGCATCAGAACTTTCCTGGCTGATGTGGTCATTGATGGAGGGTGTTGTGGTAGTCCACCATGATCTTCTTCCTTTTTCTTCTTCTCCACCTCCTGCCTCATGGAGAGGCCTTCACCTGGCTTGGGGAAGAGAGACATGGGCTGGAAATAACCCTTTTTTAAAGGTGTGCTAGGTGTGCCTTTCATCAAATCATCTTCACCCTTTTCCAAAGGTGTCTCCTCCTTCATTTGCACACCACCCTGTGCTCCCTCCTTCTCCATAGGTTCTTCCTCCTTCATTTCCACTTCACCCACCTTGTCATCCATACCCTTTTCCAAAGGTGCTTCCTTCTCCATCTCCACATCACCCTTTCCCAAAGGTGGCCCCTCCTCATCAGGGGCCTCAGGGACGGGCATTTCTTTGATCCTCCACACCTTTCTGCTGGGTGTGGCTGACCTGCTCCAGTCTGGGCTGAAAGACCTTTCCCTGGACCAGCTCCTGCTGTGCCTGCAAGATCGACCCTTTCTCAAAGGTGAGGCTCTGCTGTCCCTGCTTCTGCTCTGCCTCCTACTCCTCCTGCTGTGACTCCTTGTCCTGGGGCTTTGTTTGGGGCTCCTGTGCCAGTCCTCTTCCCAGTCATCCCAGTTGTTCCAGCTGGCCCAGGTGTGACTGCCCCACCTGCCCCAATCTCTTTCCCAAGAGTTGTTCCAGTACCAATCCCTTTCCCAACAGTCCCCACCATCATCTCCATCATTTCCTCCTCCACCTCCACCACCTCCTTGCTGGCTCTGCCTCACCAGCTTTCTGGCCTGGGAAGTGGTCCCAGACCCCTTCTTCTTCCCAGCCTTGTTCCTCTTCTCACCTTTTGCAAGGTGTTGCCTCTGCAGTTTCCACATCCATGCAGGGCTGCTCTTCTCCAGTGGCTTGTTGGGCCACCACTTCTCTTCAGCATCATCCATGCCAAAGCTGATGCGATTCATCCCTTTCACAAGGGGCAAGATGCCCCCTTTTATCAAGGGTATGAAAACACAGTCTCTAAAATGTTTGAGCTCACAAAAGGGCTGCAGCAGGAACATGCCTTCTCATGTTGCCAAACACAAGTGACCACAACACAACCCAGCACACCTACACATTCAGTAACAACCTACACACACCCATACACAACATAAAACAGGAACAACCTACACATACCCCAACAGAAAACATAAACAAACCCATTTACAGAGGTTGTTGCTGTACAGAAAAACCACCACACCCACCTACCATTCCCCACACAGGCAGCACATGTTTTTGACACATGCAAGTGTCTCAGTATGTTCTGTACAAAACCCTTTCCCAAAGGTTGCTTCTCATTGTTTATAGCCCTTTTCCCAAAGGTTCTTTATTCCAATTTGTTTTACCCTTTCCCAAAGGTGAACCCTTTCTCAAAGGTTCTTTGCACCAAGCTTCTTTCCAGTCAATCCTTTTCTCAAAGGTTCCAACAGGCACACCCTTTCTCAAAGGTTATTTTGCCTATACCCTTTCTCAAAGGTCAGCTGGGCCACAGCTTTTTCAAGGCACCCTGGACAGGGTTTCATACCCTTTGAAATTCACCAGCAATTCCTCATGGCCCATCAGCAGCTTCATCAAAAGCCCTGTTTCTATGTAGGGCTTTGACTTGTGTCTAGGGCCACCTCTCCCACTGGCCATGACCCTTTTACAAAGGTAGGCACCCTTTCACAAGAAATTCTTTGAGTTCCCTTTCACAAGGGTGCAGAAAACCTACAGGCAACTGAAGTTAAGGTTGTTTTGAGCCAAAAAAAGGTCTAGAAGGCTGACATACAAACACTTTTCAATCTTGAAAACCAACCAGCAAAATCAATAGGAAAAGAGCTGTTTTTAGCCTTCAAAATCAATCTGTAAATCAATATGTAAATCAATATATAAATCAATAAAAAATCAAACAAATCAATCTGAGACTTTTTGAAAATATCAATTCAAATCAATCTGAAAAAAATCAGTTCAAAAAACTATGAAGTTTATTGATTACAATCAATCTTCGATGCTCAGGGTAAGGTGAGCCTCAGAGTGCAGATTTCGTGGCAGGTGCAGCACTTGGTGAACCTCGAAGTGCAGATTTCGTGGCAGCCGCAGCACTTGGTGAACCTCGAAGTGCAGATTTCGTGGCAGGCACAGCGCATGGTGAACCTCGAAGTGCAGATTTCGTGGCAGGCGCAGCACTTCATGAACCTCGAAGTGCTCACACTCGCACTCACACTCCTCACACTCACACCCACTCACTCTCCCGACTCCTCACTCGCTCTCACTCACACTCGCACTCACACTCACACGCACACTCACACTCACTCTCACCCACGCTCACACACTCACTCTCGCACTCTCACTCACCACACTCACTCGCGCCCACCTTCACTCTCTCACACTCGCACTCACACTCACTCACTCTCGCACTCTCACTCACACAGACCCTCACTCTCACCCACACTCACTCGGACCCACCTTCACTCTCCCTCACACTCACTCACACTCACACTCAAACTCACTCTCACTCACTCTCACTCACTCACTCTTACTCTCACTCTCACACCCACACTCACTCACTCTCCCACT